CTGTATTGGGGGTCCGGGGGGGTCCGAAAACCAGTCAGTATCTGGTGTGACCACTATTTGCCTCACGCAGTGCAACACATCTCCTTCGCATAGAGTTGATCAGGTTGTTGATTGTGGCCTGTGGAATGTTGGTCCACTCCTCTTCGATGGCTGTGCGAAGTTGCTGGATATTGGCAGGAACTGGAACACGCTGAGAAAACACTGGTAGAAAGCGGTGGGCATCATGAAACACCAGGTCTGTGTGTGAGCTCTCCTGAATCCTGAGGTCCTCCAGAGGAGAGACAAAGCCCAGAGTCCAAATCTCTGTTCATCAGACAAAGTGAGTGTGTCACTTTAGAAGGTTTTGAATATATCAATCAAATCATAGGATTCGTTTCACACTTCCTTTTATCTCCTTTTTGGAGCATGCCAATTTTGAGTTTGAGTTTTGACTACAACAGATTTTCATCATTTGAACAAAAACAGCTCCATTATTCTAAGCAGCAACTGATTTTCATAGTTTGGACTGTAGTCACTTGTTAACCTTTAATGTTATGGTAATGTACCAAATGACAAGGTTCCCTGTACCTGCTATAGATCCAAATAAATCCATTTTAGAAATCAGAAAGCCTGCTAATGATTTAATGAGAGAACTGTTAGTGAAGAAATCTCTGATATAGCTGGGTAGAAAGTAATCCCCATTTCTTCCTGCTGTAGATGATCTGTGTTATAGAGTAAACGAGTTATTTCTGCAGCACTCATAAACCTCTCAAACACATCTGTGATGCTCATCAAGACACATATTGTATAAGCTCTGTTCAGCACAAGGTTATGCTGCATTACTGCTGTCTAACATTTCTCTCACATTTAAACTAAAGATCCAGTGGATGTCCTCCTGGAGCCTCTCATTCATTCCCACTCATAAACCACTCATAACCCACTCACAAACCTGTGCCCAAGATTTCTCTGAACACCCAGCAGACACGCGAGCGGGTCACTACATCAGAGGCACATCAGGACCCTCTCTCCGCTCCTCCGCTAGTCTCTGATCAGACCTTGTTTCAGACACACTTCACTGCACAAAGCGTGTGAAAAGTCCAAACAAGTGTTTTGAGCAAACATCCTAATAAGTGCAGATGAAGACCTCAGTAATGTGGAGCAGAAGGACAGCAGCTCTCTAATGCCTGCTGATCATCACACACACTATAGTGAGCTCATCTCAGAGACACACACATATCAGCTTAATGAGATTTCTGTCCAAACCCGAGCCCTCACAGAAAGCTGTGCACATCACTGGACTTACATATAAACATGGTTTGGCTGATTTATGAGCATTTCTACCAAAATAAAATGTCTTTATATTTCACTATATTACTGATGATCACAAGTACAGCTAAACAAGGACAACTACACTCTCTCAAACACACACACACACACACACTCACTCACACGCACACACACACGGCTCTGAAGAAAAAAGCAACCCAAAGGATCTTCAGAAATAAGTGTGTATACAAGCATCAGTGAATGACAGGTCATATTTCTGGCTTTCTAAAACAAGCCAAACATTGTGGACCACTGATTTGACAGACCTGAATATTTAATGAGTTCATATCTAAAAGATGCATTTATGGTGGTTCGTTGACATTTGCTGATTCACCTTCCTGTTATATAAAAAAAGGGGAAATGGACTTCATGAACCATTTTTATGTACATTTTACAAAACCATCTGCCATTTGGGGCAGTGCTAAAATGTTTGGTTAAGATGTTTAAGTCAATGACAGAAAAAGTCATGCAGTCAATGCACAAATATATCCACCTCCCGTCTCTGCCAAAGTGGAGCTTGTGTAGAGAATCGTCCTGAAACGGCTGATCACGGCTAAACGCAGCCACTCGATTCACACTCACTCTGCAGGATAAACTTACTCGAGAAGATGAAGAGCAAGAGAGTCTGTCTCACCGGCAGTCCATCGCCTCACAGCACAGAAGTCCTTCAACACGCCAAATCAGGCAGAGGCCCAAACGCTGAGGACCTCTCTCACTTAAAATGGGGCCTTTTCTGTTGTACAACCAGAGTATGTAGTGAGTCTTTATTTTAAACAGCGAAAGTACTGAATGTTCTTTGCAGGTTCTACTGTAGATTTCTGTCACATCCGTTTGCATGAATGAAGGCTGCTTCTTCCAGTCTGAAAGACTTCATAAAAACACTCACAAAAACTGCAGACATCAGACTTGTTTCTTAACAACCCAACACTGAAACGCTTCGCTCAGCACAGTTTTCATTGTCTGAGCTCTAAAATTACTGCTCATGTCAACTTTGCATCAAAAATCCCCCCCCCCCCGATATTAAAAAACCCCCCCCCCCCGATATTGCCATAAGAAGAAACCTTGTTTCATGCTCTGATTAAATGCAGTCATGCAGCGTCACAGAACTTCAGGGTAACACTCTCTCTCTGTCTCTCTCTCTGTCTCTCTCTCTATCTCTCTCTCTCTCTGTCTCTCTCTCTCTCTCTCATGTCTTTGATATTGTGACAAACCTGCTGTTGAGGGCAGGGAACAATAACAGTTACTGCAAATATTTACATGCCATTTCAAAGCCATTGCGTATATGATTATGTTTTTGTTTGTGAAGTGCTGACAGGTCATATTCAGAAAGAGGGAGAGATTTGAATAAAAAGTACACCTGTCAGTTTGCTCAGCAAACAGACCAAGCATTAAATAAAGACGCCAGCTGTTGTCTAATTTAACCGGCGTTGGGATTGCCAGGGGTGTGACAGCACAGCACTATTAACATGTGTCAGGACCCTCCCCATCGTCTTCAATCATCTCAGCAGAGCCAGAGTCAATTACCAGAGATAACCTTTCTGCTCTGGACGCCATCCAAACAAACAAGTAACCCATCAATCCTCAGGTCTGCTAGAACTTCCTGATGTTCACATCTTGAGGATGAACCGATAATGACAATTTACATTATTGGGTGAACTATTCCTTACGTCATTTGTTAGTTACTTTGTTTGTTTTTTAACGCCATATTAGCATCAAGGCTATTTACATGGCAAACACAAGGTCAGCATCATAATCCATAGAAATGTTAATTATTACATAAAACCTTTTAACTTGACATAAGACAAAAAATCTAAAATACATTCAGGTGATACATTACAAAATAATCCACTTATAGGCATATGTTTCTGAATAAAAACGTTTTCTGTCAGTATTATAAAAGTCACAGTCCACCAGGATATGTTTAACAGTCGAAGGAACTTGACATGAGATGCATATCAATAGAAACCCATGTGTAAGTCTTGAGTCATCTAGTCGGCACCTAGTATAGACAACTTGGTACTGTCTTGATTTGAGTTATTCCTCATCGTTCCAACCCTGTATAACTTTTTCTTGCTGTGGAACATAAAAGGATACATTTTGAAAAAGTTGTCTGTCTGTTTTTTAAAGCAATTACAATGAACTGGGATTGAAGCGTGCAATCTTTAAAATAATTATATTGTACATAATATATGCTCAAAATACAGTATATAAGTATTGTGAAATCAAATGAGAGCTCTGTGTAAGGAACAAACCAAAATTTAAGCATTTATTAAATTCACTGCATTAGAGATTAGAGATTAGTCAATTATTTTGAACTACTATGAAAATAACTAATTGTCCACAAATCAGACATAGCTACTCACATTTGGTCTGTTCCTCACAAAAAGACCCAGTCTTCATTCATTTTTATTATTGCGAAAAGTTTGACCAGAATATTTTGTGTTTCACAGAGAAAAGACAGTCACAAGGATCTGTAACATCATCATCAACCCTGTTGATGCAAATCACAGCAAAGCTCTGACAGATCTCCAGAGGTAAGAAATGAATCTCTACCCTGCTTAACCAAAACATCCTTGGTGCTTTGACCTCACTGCACCCTGAAGCTTGTAAAAGGCCCTGCATTGTTCCTCATGGGTCTAAAGATGATTTCTTAGTAAGACAGAAAGCATCAGGCCTGAGTGAGAAGACCCTCATACAACAGTAAATCATACATCCCCAAAGACCTCTCCGTTCTCAGCATGCTCTCCGATGTCCAGCTTACCGATGGCACAAAATTGTGCCTTTGACAAAGTGGAAGGAATATCTTTCCCTATGGGAGATAATATTACCAGCAGGTGCGAGATGGAGGACCTGTCTGAGAGCATGGGTTTGTGTGCGGTGTTACTCAGACAGGTGCCCATAGCTGCTCGAAACTGGGTCAAAGCAGAGGAGTTCAAATCATCGGGTCAAATATTTCACATTTACAGCTGAACATTTTCAATGATTTGGTGTGAAGACAGTTTTGTTACTATTCTGCAACAACGTCAGGATTTGACTGATCAGCCTTTAAAGACAGTTCTTGTTGGCTGTCAAGGAAGTGGAAGCACATGCAACACAACATCAACAAAAAAGAAAGTGGTAAAGACAGCAGACATCAGAACGCATGTGCTAGAAGGCATCTGTGAGAGCCAGCTTTCATCCTCTTGGCATCATGAATGCACAGGATCCTAGGTGAAGTCGAGAAAGTAAATATTTCAGTCTTATTTCTCCTCCCGTCCCCTGGGCCGAGACGAGTGACAGGGACTCGCCCGACACACGTGACATGAAGCAGATCTTTTCAAAGCCACTGAGGTTTAAACGTACAGCTCTACCACAGTCAAGACCCTTCCACTCGATCCTCGGAGCGCTCACCTGCCGCAGGTACAAAAGAGCAGGAGCACAGCTGCCTTTGAGCTCCACACTGACTGAAGTCTCCAGGGCAGAAAAAGAGACTGAATAGAAAGAGAATCAAAAGAAAACAGAGACAGAAAGGCGTGCAGCTCCCAGACGGCTGACTCTCAGATGCCCCGGGCGTGATCTTTTCAGCGGGCCTGTATAGGGCCGAACACACTGACAAACACTGCTGGTTTATTCAGACACACGTTCAGCCATGCACACTGGAAAGCACAGAAAGCACAAGACACAGCCTTACGGCAGACAGGGCCAGAGGTCCTCACCGGCCCCTGAGCCGCAGTTGTATTGTTCTGACAACTCTGTTAGTCTCGCCATGTGCGCTCCCTGGCACTTGATTTTTAACAAGTGCTTTTTTGGCACAGTCAGACTAAACTTGTAGGGCTGTGACGGTCTATTGTCACCGGCGGTAGTGCACGTGACGTCACACAATCTATAACAAGCATAATACAAAGCTTTGTATGCAAGTGTAATAACAGTAACAGTTGCTGTTATTGTTATAGTTATTTAGACTACAAGTCTGTTAATTCACAAATGACCTCAAATGCCATACACAGCGTTTCCTTTAGATCATGCTTTAGATTGGCAGGTTTGAGCGCAGGTAAATACAGTTTATTCTGCATTCAGCAAGTTAATTTCATGTTGGGCAATGGACCTTGTTGGAAACCAAATACTACATCGCCGATCTGGAGCCATCTTCATTCATGTCACCCATCCGCGTTTGTACAAGTGTCTTCAAGTTCCCATGATCGCAAACGCCTGGCTGGTCAGGTTTGGTGAGGCATTCTCCAAACTGGCCAAATACAAACGAGACAGTGATAAATGGAAGATGTTAACAAGAAATGTGGCAACGATTCCTATTCCACAGAGAGCGCGCGCAGACGAGGAGTTAATGCGCCACTTGCTTGGCGGCAGAACATTGAACCGTGTCTACACCGGACACGACATCGCCGCAACAGGTTGAGTCTGTCTAATGTCTATAGCCCATCAACACTGCACCACCGGCAGTAGTTGGTCCATTACCACCGCGGTGGTAAAAATCTGACACTGTCACAGCCCTAGGGTTTACGCATCAAAAATGGAAAAACGATGTGCCTGTCGTACTTGTAACAGTGATTCCAGGTATCCTGAGAGGATGGGCAATAGAATTTATTTTATTCCATTTCCTGAACCCAAACAAAACAGAGCAAAATGTCCCAAAGCATTCACCCCCAATCCCAATGAAGACAAAAACGTTCATTTTTCTGGTTGTCATACTCTCATTAAGTTATAATTTTCATCTGCTCAAGCAGAACGTTAATGTCATCTAGTGCTTCAGCAAGTTATCTCTGGCTAAAACTAGCTAACCTTGAAATTAGTGAGTCCATACGAACCTAAATAGCAGACTGTTCTCACGTCTTGTACAGTGTAGGGCAAAAACACATAAACGAAGGTCTACATTTCACTGTCTCTCCATATTAAACTGGTTAAATGTACATTAATTTAATCGTACCCTGCGGTACATGAACAGTGTTGATCCTGCATGTTGTCACCCATGATCGTGACGAACGTAACATGAGGCTTCTCCCGCTTGCATTGTGGTCTGTGAACCCTCGCTTCCAAATTAATACCCACAATATTTATTTTGAAATCTTTTATATATCCTTCCATGGCATATTTAAGTCCCACTTGAATGGTGGTCCTTCTGTGTCCAAAATGTATCAAAAAGGTATAGGGACAAGGTTTTCACACTGACAGCTGTCATGTAAGACCGTTAGCAACTCCGTTTGTTTGTCCAAATTTGCAACAGTAACTAAGGGGGGTGGGGCTTACCGATAGGTCAATTCAGTTGAAAGATCTAGCATTTATATTGAAATAAACAAATTATTAAAATCTGAATATTCATCTTTAGCACAGTTGAATAGCTGAGAGCCCGTGTGCAGCTGGTCTGCCTCGTCACACTACAGGGATCCCAATCACACCCATAAACACTTTAGCACCATGAGAACAAACGCTAACGATCTGACGATTACCAGACGACTCTTCTGCATAAGAGTGTTTGACTCGAGTAGTGCTGAGAGCTGAGTGTGAAAAAACACAGCCAAGTACACAGTAAAAAGCTTTATCTTAAGAAGATAAAGCTCATGAAGAAAATGGAATAAAATTAAACAAAAAAATATTTAAATCAAATTTTCAGATAAAAATTATATACTTTAAAATTATAAGATACTTTTTTAGCCTACAAGCATTCAAGAAAATTAAAGGGGTCATGAACTGAGAAATCAAAATTCCATCGATCTTTTGATAGACAAAAAGTCATTGCATAAAAACCACTTGTGTGGTTATGTAACAGTGTGGATAAGCACCACCTCCACAGAAGATAATCAATGCCTGCTGCTACATAACTGTCTGTT